CTCTTCGAAATAAATACATTTTTATTTGCAATATAACTGTCTACGCTGCTTTTCAGTAATGAGTATATGGTATTTGAACACTTTTAATCGTATATTTAAGGTAGGGGAAACACCTTCTGCTTTGTACTTAAAAATGAATAGAAATGTAAAGTCTATTATCATTATATTATTATGCTCGTGTTTCAATTTTGTTTTTTTATTGTTAAATTATATCGATCTTGAAACTAATACCTAAAAATGTAAATATGGGCTCTCGTGTTGTACCAGCGATAATTTGGAAACTAGTGTCTTTTCACCAATGAAAGGAGTACACAAGCAATACATTTTCGAGAACATGGTTAAAAATTAAAAGAAAACACCGAACCCAATGAACTAACATAGTAACTCCTCCCTTAATGTAAGACTGTTTATTCGTGTAAAGGCTGCAAAGTCTGTGGTCAACTGATCAAAACATCACAACTGAAAGATCTGGTGGTCGTGAATTTGCTGTTTTGTACATCACAGAGTGATATCACAGCCAGGAAAAGAAAGGGCCATATTGAAATATAATGAAACATCCACCCACTACCAGAAGGACTCGGAAAACAAATTGCCCCCATTGTTTTCATCACAATCAGGAGTTCAAGTACCGAATTTCTTGGTACCTGTAAACTTCCTTGTAGGTAGTCATGTGATTACCCGAAAAAACAAGGCGCTGTATCTCGGAAACGAAAGCCGCACAAACGCTACTTACAGTGACACAAACCGGCACAAAGGCAAAGATAAAAGGACTGTGAGCTCATCGCTTCATGTTTGCGCATAAGACCCATGTAAATACAAACACACGGATAATGACAGTTTATTAAAGAATTCAGATATATGTTAATTTCTGTTATGTGAAAATAAAAAAATATTTTTCCAATATTGCCGCGGTTCGCAGGTGTGAGACGGTGGACTTTCCGGTGTTGTTTCTCGGATGTGTTATTTACTACCCGCGACAACCTTGTTTGTAGTGCCCCTTAAAAAACACATTAGTTCATTTTTACTTTAACGAATGTGCTTTGTATAAAAAGTAAAACAGTGGTCTTGTTCTTTAAGTTGCAGATTCAAGCCTTTTTGAACACGTCCCTTGGTGCGCGTGTTTATTTAAGGAGACAGTGAGAAACTGATCACTGGTCTTTTGAATACAATATTTTGGACGGATTTTGAATCTTGCCTTTTGCCTTGTGTTCATTGTGTTTTGGAATAAAATATTAACTTCAGAATAACTCGTAAAACTACTGAACAATCTAAAAGCAGACAAACGAAATACTTAGAACTGTTACGAGCAACAAGTGAAAATTGGCTCTTGCAGCTTTTCTTTAGCTAAAGACAAAGCCCTTATATGAGAGGCTTTTGCAAACTAGCTGTCATTTGAACGTGAATTTGCCGACTCTCTAGACAGTGACGAGATTATCGCCATATTTAATTCCAAGCCCCGACGCCTGCGTCTGATCTAGAAGGCCAAAACCTCACAACAGAGGTAGGCACTGATTGTGTGTGTGTCCGTCGTGGCACAGTAGCGTTCGGCAGCCTAGGTAATTGTTGCTTAACCTGTCTGTGTGTCTGTGTGTGAGAGAATATATATGAGGTTCCGTTAATTATGGTGTTATGGTGTT